GAAGCTGAAGCTGAAGCTGAAGCAAAGGCAGAACTGCGCACACGTTGGCTAAACTTTGTTTCGGTGACTGTGGAGCACCTGGCGCCGGAAGATGCCACTGAGACAACGCATGAGTTTGTCTTGTGCTGAAATAAATTTACTTGTATGCCACATACACAAACACACACACATACACACACACAGACACACAGTCGAGTGCACTCTGCTAACTAAATTTTGCGCTGCGTACGCGACTCAGCGGAGTGCAAAAGGCATTGGACTGACTTGGACTGACTTATGGCAAGATAAGCAGTCGAGTTTGAGTTACAGGTTAATTTATTATTGAAACTAATGTTGGCAGTCCAATAGGGGGTGGGGGGCGTGGTTTTGAGTGTCATTGCAGGTGGCGCCACTGCTGACGTCGCCGGCTTGGTGACTCACTTGGCCAGGCTGGCTGGGGCGGGTTAGGCTGCGTCTGCGGTGCAAATTATGAAATTCAACTTGACAAATGTCAGTGACATTAATTAAACGTTGAGATACGGCAACAACAACAGCAACAGCAGCAGCAGCGGCAGCAGGAGCAGCAGCAGCTGCAGCAGCAGCAAGAGCAGGAGCAGCAGCAGGAGACTGTGCGGCTTGGGCAGTTGCCAAGGTGTTTAGCCTTTAAGATGGAAATGCAATTTTGCATTTCATTTATGGAAAATCAATAAGCGACTCGTAATCCGATTGAGAACTCAATTCGATTGCAGCTGCGTGTGCCACAAGCAAAAGGAAATTGCCACATTTAGTGGCAGGCAGCGGATCTTTAAAACAAACTTTTAAAGCAGCCAGCGTCCATTTGAGTTATTTTATTCTATTTGATATTTTCTTTTAGTTTTTTTTTTTTTTTTTAGATGAGCTTTTTCGCACACTTCGCCAACTTCCGCTTCCGGCGGCAAGCAAAGCAATGCAAACACAGCCCACGCTCTTGCACACTCTCTCTTTCGCTCTCTATCTCTCTCATTCTCTCTGCATATCTATCTCTGTCTGACTGCTTTTTGTTTTCGCTGGCATAAAAATCATTAAACTGATTTATATTCCGTTTGATTCCCTCGTTTCCCTCGGCTACGCGTCATGTGTGCCCGTCTGTTGCTCTTTTTTCTCCGTATACTTCCGCCCAGTGAACTGCTAAGGGGTATCTCGACCACAGACTCACCAGCAAGAGGCTGAACCTCTGAATATTTCTATAAAATATATTTCGGCTGGTTCAATCTGCAGTTTCATCTGTTTACACATTTATATTATATTTCTATTTATAATTTCAAAATTTGTTCCCATATCTTATCGAATTTATTATTGTTCTCTATAAACAAGTGGTGTTCATTTGATTTATAGGGTATTCGGATGTTCAACGCATTCGACTGCTTGGCAAACACTTAAATGTTTTGCTGCTTGAACTTGAGTTCAAGTTTGATAAAAGGGTCGCTCGACAGACCATGCCCATGCCCAGTCGCAGAACCCATGCGAAATTCGATAATTCAAGTCAATTTCGCATGTGTCGGGGTCGCTCAAGGGTTAAGTGATTTCTTTTGTTTCTCTTTTTGCCGCCACTACCACCTCCTGCTCCTCTGCGTCGTCTTCTTCTTCTTGTACTCCTACTGCTGCTGCTGCATTTAGTCAACTGTAAAATAAAGTCGCATAAATAAGCTAGCCGCGCAGCAAGCACATGAAATATTTAAAGTTCTTTTCTTCTTTATTTGTTGAAAATATTGCTTTTGTTGAGAAAAAGCTCACGAAATACAATACATGCATAATCTAAATTTCTCTCTCTCTCTCTCCATCGCCAGTGTTGGCTAATGCGCTGCAGGCGTTGACCAGCATCAAAAAAAGTGTTTGCACTGTTGTTTCCATAACCAACAACAACCACGAAATGCCAGCGCACTTGGCAACCCGAAACCCCAACACCCTAGCTACTCTACCTTCTCCACGCCGTACCGCTCGAAACCAGCCGGAATCGAGCCACCTTCCGGCAAGCCGAGCGACCACCTTGAAAGGGTTGACGTTACACAAACTCAATTCAATTTCGTTGAAATGTTTTATTATATATGTATTTTGTTGTTATGCATGTTGGTATCGTTGTTGTGGTTGTTGTTGTTGTTGTTGTGACTGATTTTAATGTAATTGCCGGTAATAGCAAACACTTTTTATAGGCTAACAACTTGTTGTTGCTGTCGTTGTCGTTGCCGTTGGCCGCGCTTAATGTTCATTTGATAATTTAGGTGTGTGTTTTTTTTTCTATCCCAAATTGAATTCTAATTTCATATTAATTTGCACTTGCTTTTGGGTCATATCGTTTCGGCTAATCGCCAAACTTGTGTAGGTTAAATGTTTGGACCAAATGTTTGTCAGTCAAGAGGTTGCCATGTGCTGTAAATGCAAATTGAAAATTTGAATTGGTTTTAGGTTGACCAAATAACAATTTGAATTACTCTACTATCATATATAACAGTTGAATTATTATCATATTACTATAAATATCATATATAATTGTAAATATGTAGCATAAAAATAAATAAATACTAAAAATAATATCGAATCTCATTTCATTAAAATTTCTTTTACTATTGCTCGTATTCGGTCTGCCCGAACTTCGCCCATGGCTTCTTCATCTCTTATCTCGTGGCATTTCTTATCATTAGCTCGAGGTCTAGGTTAGATATAGTAAGATACAATCAAAGATAAGGTTTAACATTCAATAACAATTACAGTTTTCCATTTTTGCTAAACTCATTCAAGAAGTAAAAGCGTCTTTTAAGCTAGAAACTTGAAATTTATCATATTACCTCGACTGATGAAGTGAACAAATTTTGAGATACGTCCATTAGGGGCGTATATTCGGTATACTAAAGCTCTAGAAGCTCGATATTCTAAATATGTCGAGTTCAAAAAGATATAGTGAATATATGTGACACAATACGGCTCGTGGCAATCAGCTAAAAGCAAATACTTACCTCCAAATTTAAAGAGTATTTGCAACGAAATATTAATATATCATGATATTAATTAATTTAGAGCTGAAATGTTTTCAAAAAGGGATAACTAACTGTAGATAATTTTACATAAGATTGAGCGAGTATTACTCAGTCGGTAGCGGGTGACGGCAACATTCTTACTTCTATTTTAATGTAATTGTTTCTCTTCTTTTTGTTATGCCTACATGTGTAGCTAATATACATATTTCCGCTGAGCACGTGTCTGTCCTATAGCTGCGTATTGGTAGATGGTACCTAGGCATAGTCTATGATAATTACTTGACGTTTCGGAGGTAAGAGGTCGTCGTGCACGCACAATTCTTGTTACGGAAACGACAATGCTAGGTTCTGATCTATGTACATATGCGTATTGATAGAGAACACCAAATGTCTGCCATTCCAATTTCTTATCAATTTGATTATAATTAGCAATTACTACGCGCATCGCATATAGCATCGATGGCATCAGCTCCATTGATGCTAATCAATTGGGTCTCCAGAAAATACGCGAACTCAAAAGCTACAACATCTATCGACAATTATCAATGAAAATTGCAATTAACAGACTTTCTTCGAGTGACTAATTGTTGACTAAGAGAATTTCTAGTTATTGTGAACTAACATTAGGAATAGTTAGTTTTTTTTTTTTTCAGAAATTCTATTAATGTAAATTGTGAAATTTATTCAGAGTTTGTTTTCTAAATAAAAATAAAATAATGAAGATGATAAATTATTAATATTCAATTTACATTTTTAATAAAGTAGTAAAGTAGCAATTTATGTAAATAATATTTGGGTAATATGTAGTAATAGTAAAAGTAATAGTTGTATTAGTAGTAGTAATATCAGTAGTATTATTAGTAGTAGTAGTAATAGTAGTAGTAGTAGCAATATCAGTAGTATTATTAGTAGTAGTAGTAATAGTAGTAGTAGTAGTAATATCAGTAGTATTATTAGTAGTAGTAGCAATAATAATAGTAGTAGTAGTAGTATTGATAGCAGTAATAGTAGTAATAATAGTAGTAGTAGTAGTAGTAGTAGTAGTAGTAGTAGTAGTAGTAGTAGTAGTAGTAATAGATTTAGTAGTAGTGATAATAGAAATAGCAGTAGGTGTCGTGATAATAGTAATAGTAGTAGTAGTAGTATTATCAGTAATAATAATAATATTAATTTAACTAAAAAAAAAAATATAAAAAAAATTATTAGCAATTTTTTATTTTATTGCTTTAATACAAGAACATATGAAAATAGCATAAATGCCAGACTCTTTCATAGTATATTTTATTTATAACTACTTGTCAAATTGCCAGCCGTTATCCGAAAATTAGATAGATAGGATAGGCTTCGTCATCAAAATACTTTTATATCACGCTGAGTGTAGGTCAATCATCTAATTAATTAAAGAATGGTAAATTCCTTTGGCACTGACCACATCCATGGCGATAGAGAATAAGATATACTGCGGAAAGGATAAAAAAGGCATAGGAAGAAAGATATCCTCATACAAGGGCAGCCAGAGAAGGGTTTATGTTTGTCAACTGGCACGGAGAACTGAGATAAGGTCCTTTAGCTCTAAGCCGTCTCAGTGTTGACTGCCTTTTGCAAAATTGGTGCGAAATTATGAACTGAATGACAATGCCGTTGTCTTGGCCGTAAGTACCTGACTTGATGTTAATTTGTATACAAAAGTTGACAAGAGTCGCGAATGAAGTGCTCCGTTTGTCAAATTTCCGAGTAAGCACAATTAAATAAATTAAAAAAGAAGAAGCAGCAGCAGGTGATTTTTTTTTTCTATTGATAAGATATGCCAGTTGGCAAAAGACATCAAAAACATAAAAATCAGGTACCGCCCAGCATCCCACGCAGGGCAACAGCGGAAAATGGCGCTCTATCAGATACTTATCGCAACGACATGTCGATAAGGCATCTCAACACGATTCGGTTGCCTTACGGCCTATCGGCCCGGTTGGCGGCGCGCTACCATATAAAAGCGACTGCCCCCGGCAATAATGTCATTTGAGTAAAGCAGCTTGTGCAATTCTTTGTATCAAGTTCGACGCCCCAGCAAACACAGAACAGGAATAGCTGTCCCGCTCTCTCGACCGATTGAAGATGAGAGCCCATTACGGTATGTGGGCACTTGCAGCACCATCAAGGAGCTAACTGTAAATGTCTGATCTCGCTTTTTAGTCCTTGCCTGCCTGGCTGTTTTGGTAGCTACCACTGCAGCCGCCAACATACGACCCACTGTGAACGTCGTCAACAATTCGCTGTACCGCCGCTACGTGTGTGTGAACAAGTCGAATGGATTCCGCGCTCTGGTGCCCGGTAGCTGCTCTAGATTCTACGAGTGCCAGAACGGTGTCGCTTCCGAGACCAGTTGCCCCGGATTCTACGACCCGAAGGTTCAGGGTTGTGTCAACTACAACACAGGATGCGTTGAAGTGATGCAAGTGGCAGGTCCTGTTGTTGGCAACAACGTAGAGCCGTGTGGTGAGACAATACCGACAACCACGCCCTGCGCTGAAGTCACGACGCCCCCATGTGAGCCAGAGACAACTCCACCCTGTAACTCAGAGACGACACCGACAACAACCACTTGCACTACGACAACATGTACGACACCAACAACAACTACTTGTGCAACAACAAAAACAACCACAACAAAGACAACTACTTGTACAACACCAACAACAACCACTTGCACTACGACAACATGTACGACACCAACAACAACTACTTGTACAACAACAAAAACAACCACAACAAAGACAACTACAACAACAACTTGTACAACGCCAACAACAACCACTTGCACCACGACAACAACAACCACAACAAAGACAACCACAACAAA